TGTGTGTGTGTGTGTGTGTGTGTGTGTGTGTGTGTGTGTGTGTGTGTGTGTGTGTGTGTGTGTGTGTGTGTGTGTGTGTGTGTGTATTTCTGACCCCTTTTAGCCTCCACTTTCACTGCCGGGTCAGATTGACCCGAATACCATCTCTGTGATATAGACATGTAGGGGGGGGTTCCAAATGCATGACATGAACCATTTTCATTTTTCCTTGTTTATTGCACTAATTAAGGTAAGGAGAAGAAGTTTCATACAAAAAAAATACTTGAAAGTATTTTTCGTAGATTTTCAACCTTTCAAACGGGTCAATTTGACCCTGAATGTAACAGGAGGGTTAAACAAACGTAACATGCAACCTTAGCCTAATCTAAAATGCTCTACCACGGCGTACCTTTCATGTGGCTCATCAGCGCATACTCTCCCATCGTTATTTTTTGCAAACTTTGCAGGAGGCTACTCGTGGGCTTGACCCTCGTCTTAGCCATGGCTTGTATTTGTCTTCTGCTAGCCAACGCTCGTTGAAACTGCAACCTCCTGGCATACTGTCATCTATTACTCTCATCAGAATGCCCAGGTCACACGTAACAAAAACACTTGCAGGTCACGCGCATACATTTACAATTTCAAGCACTTTATCCCAAATTCAAGCACCATTCCCAAAATTCAAGCACTTTTCAAACCTTGAAAACACCTCATACAATTTCAAGCATTTTCAAGGATTTCCAGCACCCGTACGAACCCTGCCCATAGCATGACTGAAACACCTGTGTAACCCATACAGGTCACAAATGCCCCTTTCACACCAACGTGGTTCCAGGGCCGGTTCGGAGCTAGAGCCTGATAAGCACCGGTTTTTCCTGTTCACACCGCAGCGGAGCCGGCTCTTTTCCCCGAAAACCGGTTCTTACCAAGCTCGAAAATATTGTCCGTCTAGAAGCAAGAACCGCATACGTCACAATTAACGTCGGAGGTGGGATTAATCTGATCAACAACAACAAAATGCTGCAAATTCTGTTCAGCAACACACGCAACTAAGAACCAGGATGGATGCCAGTAAATTGGGGCTTTCACACCAACGCGGTTCCAGGGCCGGTTCGGCGCTAGAGCCTGAAAAGCACCGTTTTTTCCTGTTCACACCGCAGCGGAGCCGCCTCTAAGCTCCGGAATCCGGTTTGTTTCAAGCACCAAAGAATTGTCGGTCTAGAAGCAAAAACCGCATACGTCACGCTTACGTCGGAGGGGGGCGAGATTAACCTGAGCTAGCAGTTAAAGGTGAGTACAGCAAATACAAGTTGTAACAAGCAATAGCGCTGAGCAAAGTGACTAGAATGCAACCACACACTTGTAAAAAAAAACACACTTTATAAAGTCAGGCAACACTAACCAGGCTTCGTGTGATTCTGTTTATTTGTACCTTACTTTGACCATCCGTTCGCTGTTATTGATCATTGTGGAGAGCAGGCAGACGTTTTGTTTTGTATTATAGCAGCTATCGGATGGAATCAATACATGGGCTGCACAGGTTGTCATGTCCGACTATCACAAGTAGAATCATAATGAAAAATACGCCGGTAAAATGTGCCTGTAGAAAACGGTTTATGCCACAATAGGATAGCAACAAGTAGTCAAGATAGTCAGTTTAGCTTCGGTTGCTATGCCAACATCACCCATTTTATACCAGAGAAGCGGTCGGTAAATGCCGCTGAAACACATTAATAAACAATGAACCACGGCACTCTGGAGAAAAGTATAAGGTTGGAGAAGTCGTTTTTTAATTTAATCTGGCTTCGTATGATTAAAAGCAACACGATCATCGACCCGACGCAGTCCCCCATTGTTGTTGTAGTGAGCGTCGTAACGCCGTTGGGGAGAAAATCAGCAACGTAAACGGTGACGTCATGACGCAGCAGCGGCAGCACCAGTCGTGCTCTGGGCGGTGTGAACAAAACGGGGGCTGAACCAGAAAAGCTCTAGCATTTCGCCTTTCTTTCATGCTGTGCAAAGAAAAAGCAACCTCTTAATCCAGATATCTTACCATGACTCGCGCATGCATTCACGTGCACGGTTGTGGCATGACCACCAAAACAGAAATATATGGACACAAGATGTGTGCAAATGTATTTCGTTTTCTATCCATGTGGACTTGATTTAAGTGGGGGGGGACCTAACCTCCTCTAGGGGGGTCCCATGCTCCTCCAGGAAGAATTTTTTTTAAATGTTGAAGTTAAAAGCATCAATCTGGTGCACTTTGAGAGCAAAATTAAGAGATCTATGGATACATCTCTCAACACCCATATGAAACAGAACTCTAAGCAGATTTATTTTGCTTTATGGATATTTTACAAATCACTCCCCTTTCAAACTGTATTCTTGTTTATTAATACAGGGTTCCTGCAGGTTTCACCAACTCAAATTTAAGACTTTTTAAGACCTTTTTAAGACCACTTTGAATAGAATTTAAGACCTATTTCACTGCAATAAAGTATGAAGGAAAATTGCTATGAAAGAAGAAATACGTCCCATAATTACTTACAAAGTAAATGTATTCATGTTCAACATAAGAACAATGACTGAACATAACAGCATAACAGTACACAGAACTGTGTTAGCGTGTTAGACAAAAAGTGTGTATGTGTGTGTGTCTCTGTGTGTGCTTGAGTGTGTGTGTGTGTGTGTGTGTGTGTGTGTGTGTGTGTGTGTGTGTGTGTGTGTGTGTGTGTGTGTGTTAGGGCTGTGCAATTAATCGTATTTTAATCGCAATTACGATTTTGGCCTGCCACAATTACGAAAACAACATAATCGAAAAAAACGATTATTTTGCTTTGCTAGGTTGTGACAGTGCACTACAACATATTTGATGTTGGTATTTATTATTTTTGATATTATTTATTTAAATGTATAATTTATTTAATTTATTTTTGTATTGGTTTTTCAGTTGAATTATACGTTCAGGGTAATCAACAGTTAAAAAGATACTGTTCAAATTATTATTTGTTTTAAAGTTCAATAAATGGATGTTTTCAAAGTCAATGAATAATCGTATTTAATAATCATGATATCAATTATTGACCAAAATAATCGTGATTATGATTTTTGTCATAATCGAGCAGCCCTAGTGTGTGTGTGTGTGTGTGTGTGTGTGTGACGTGTGACGTGTGTGTGAGAGAGAGTGACAAGAGCTATATTCAGAGCTCTGCTGCCTTGGCTACAATCTTTCATCGTTGCTGTTGTATGATAGGTGTTTAACTACGGTATTTAGCGTCTACAGCACCTCCGCTTTTACGCCGCCTACACACGGCGGCGTGCGTTGCCGCTTCAACGCTTCTGCCCATTCACTTTGAATGGGGTGACGTCACGCTTCGCCAAACTGCATTGTGGGAGCAAAGCATAGCTTTGTCTGTTTCAAAGTAGAGCAAGTACAAGCGCTGGCCAATCAAACCACGTGTATGTTGGGAGAGCCAGACCGCAGTTAATTTCCTCATATGTCAAAAAAATAATAATCGTGGCGGTAGGGAATCACCCGGTGCTATACGACCAGTCCCTCTTTACCTACCGGGATATAAACCGGAGGAGCCAGGCATGGAGGGAGGTGGCAGAGACAGTGGGTGAAACTGGTAGGTTTTCGCCTGTTTGGGGAGTTTATATCCAGTGTACTTCGTTTGAATGGACAGCTAGCAGGCATAGACAGTATTTAGCCAGCATGGAATGTTGCGTAAAATAGCACCATAGACATTAATGTCATAAATGTTCATCATATAAAGTGTGACATGTAAAACCTTTTATGCAATTGACAGGAGAGATTAATTTGATTGGTTGTTGGTCGCGTTGCTCGCGTAAACTCTCCAAGCTCAAGACACGCCCACTGCCAAGCGTCAACGCACGCCGCCGTGTGTAGGGGCCGTTAGGGTTGACGTAGACCCAAACGTCGCCCGGAGGTCCCCCGGTGTTGTTGCGGGAGCTACTGCACTAGCTAACGCTGCACTAGCTAACGCTACATTAGCAAAACAAACGCTAATTTCTTTTGCAAAAGGTGCAGCGGGCTTCAAACACGTTCCCCTCTACTGGTTTCAACCAAGCACTAAATTCGATGTTTTCCAATCAAATACGGTTGAACTTACACTTCCCCATATTAATTTGTAAGTAGATTCGAAGATACATGAGTTTCTGACTGCCGCTAGCTGAAGCTTGGTTGTCCCCTGTCAGACGAGACATATACCACGTGATGACACGTTAGGCTCGTGTTGTGTTCAAGGACCCTCACTCGCTTGTTTAATTTTTTTGCGGCCTAGATTTCTTGAATTTTTTGCGGGTGTATATAAATTACCTCGAGGGCCATACCAAATGGTCTCGCAGGCCGTATACAGCCCGGGGGCCGGAGGTTCCCCACCCCTGATTTAAAGCCTGGCGAGGAAGGGGGGTGGCCTTGTGGAAAGTGTGATGGACTGAAACGCTTGACAAACACAGATAGAGCTGGAAGTATGAATACTACCAAACAAGTATATGCCCTGTTCAGCTCTCTGTGACAGCGGCTTTTTCAATATTTTAGCTTACTGCTGGAAAAGTATCTTACTATATGCCAATAATTCAGAAATCATGTTATAATAAATGAAAAAAAACTCAGATTTCTCTCGCCAGTATGTCGTGCATTTCCTAATTACAACACTACGCATTTGTTTTATCATTCAAATACAAGTGAATACCAGCATTTTACACTTCTGATTAATTGTCATTAATCACAAATGAATATTGTGATTGACGCAATTAAATGTATTCATTCACTAACACATGTCAGTGATCATTTGCCAATTTTCTCTATTGGTGGGAAATAACCTGTACAACTGCAGTTTTTGCCTCTTCTGCATTGGCTTCACTGTTTGGTCTCAATATCTGAAAACACATAGATTTTCAACAACGCAGATTTACAGTGAGCAGGAATTCAGCTGCAGCGCCTGCTCTGAAAGAAAATAAATGTTTAAACAATGAAACTTCTAAGTCTCTCTTACAGGGGGGTTGGTGGAGGGGTCCTTCCTTCCCACTGCTGCCTGGCTGGGCGAGGAACCGCTGGTCTGAGGCAGTTTCCCCGGGGTGCGCCTGCCCTGCGGCAGGAATGTCGAGAAGAAGTTTCTGGAGGGAGTGATGGCGGTGCTGACCGGGCGCTGGCTCGACACTAAGTCACTAAGGAGGGCGACAAAAAAGAACATAAGTAATACGTCGAAATAATGCCACCCTCACATTGATGCCCTTGAAACATTTAGAAAGTTGTTTTTCTTTTGAAATTGATTTAAGTTCTGCTTTTAATAATATTCATCCATATATCGTCCTCTAAAAAAAATCTATTGCAGGTGAATTTCATTTTTTATCAAGTGGTATTATTCTTTTACATTAAACAGGCCACAACAAGTCAAAGTCAAGTCAGGATTCTGTAATACAGCTGTAGGCAACACGGGGGGGGGGGGGGCAGGCTCAGTTTCCTCAGCTCCAGGTTTGTTGTACGGTCAGATGAGCATACTAGTACATAAATGTACGCAAAACTGCAGAAAGTGTGTTTGTTCCCAGATGAAGAGCGAATCATAGTTCTGTGGCCGTACATGGTCAGGACATCACACACTAAAGATATTCAGGGTTCTCAGTGTTTTTACATAAACGTCAGCGCCTCCATTCAGTTACTGCTGCAAAGACTCAGAGCTTATTGTCATCTTTATATAGAGCAACCTAGAGTCTGTTTCAGGTTTTTTACCCGCTGGTTTTGTAAAGCTAAATGTTAAGTTTGAGGCCCAAATATTCAGAGAGGTTGAGATGGCAGGAAAGATTAGCCCTTACACCCCTAGAAATGTTTAAACCGTCAGCTATTCAGCAGGCCAGCAGGACTCTATGTTAAAAAATTAACGCCACTAATTATTTTAACGTGCGATTAATGCATGTGTATTTGTCCTCGGCCCGCCCCGTAGTTTCAGAGCCCAAAGGCTTGACGTTGTTGTTGTTAGTTGGATGGTGGGAGATTCCAGCGAGAGATATGTATACCAAAAAAGGTGTTTTAAACAGCAAGCCAAGCACACAGCTGATGCTGACAGCCCCCGCTCCTGCCGCTCGCTTGCGGCAGACCACGCTTGAAAGTTTGCCGGGGAGACGCCTGGACAACAACAGCGATAGCTAAATGGGTGGCTACAGCTTAACATTGTGGAGGACGAGGGGCTGCGTTAGATAATTCGGATTGCATCCAACGTGTCGACTGCACATCACAGCGCATTATTTTGACCCACAGTGGGAACTTCAGTCTCATGCGAGTAAAACTCTAACACAGAAAATACCTCCCCAAAACGCCTCGTTGGAGATACGTCACTGCCCATTTGATTCTTCCGGGTACCGCATGATGTCATGCGGTACCCGGAACAAAATGGACCAATCCGGAAGAGCTATGGCCACACCCAGCGGCGCTGGCCGCACCCTCTGCCAGCCTAACATTTACTGTTGGAAGCTCTGGTTCAGTTCACAATCGATCCAGTCATGCCACTGCCAAGGACCTGTTTCCTGAAATGTGAGGAGAAATCTGAGCTGTTTGTCCTACCGACGGAAGAACCACCACGAAGTCAGTGGTTGAAATTTCTTTTTAACACTGTTCCTTCAGAGGTTCGAAGAACGTTACTGTGTGCGCGGCATTTCACAGACGAAAGCTTCCAAAACATTGCCCAGTTTGAGGCCGGATATGCACAGCATTTGAAACTGAAGGACGATGCTATTCCTAGTTTGTTTGGACCGTTTGGAGCAGGGGAAGATTCGGGTACACAACCTGTAAGTTTGCATTGTTATTTGTGTATTTATCAAACAAGACTGTTTAAATGTGTAAACGTGTGTCGGACTGCTAAGCCATTGACACAGTGCTAACTGTGCTAACTAAGTTGCTAGCGTTTCCATATATCAACTCTATCAGCAGATGGCCTTACATACATGTATCTCATAGCAGGAGAATGTCTGCATTCACACACGAAATACTCATAGACAGTATACTCCGGGTGATTTGCCGTACGGTCAGTCGCGAAATGTAATTACATTATAGCTGGCGTAGCGTGTATGCTACCGAGCTAACCAACGGAGCTAGACATGGGTTTGCTCGGAAAAACATTTTTGTTATGCCAGCTACAATGAATGTAGCAGACTACCCGTATAAGATTGCAATTGTAAACACATTCTTGCTAGCCTAATATGAATCACTAGCTTTTGTTCATAGTGGTTTTATTACACTAAACAAGCCATTGACACAGTGCTTACTGGGCTAACGACGTTGCTAGCGTTTAAATATATCAACTACAATGTCAGCAGATGGCCTTACATGTTTGTCATGGCAGGAGAATGTCTGCAGTCACACACGGAATACTCATACAGTATACTCCGGGTGATTTACCGTACGGTCAGTACATTACAGTTGGCTTTCCTCCGAGGTACGCTGATAGCATGTATAGCTAACGAGGCTAGCTATACATGCTAGCGGAAAACAATGTATTCATGCCAGTTACAATGAATGACCGAACGTAGCAGACTACCCGTATAAGATTGCAATTATAAACACGTTATTGCTAGCCTAATATGAACCACTAGCTTTTGTTCATAGTAGTTTTATTACACTACATTATAGTTGCCGTTCCTCCGAGCTACCGTTCATATCCTGTTAGCTACCAAGGTAAACAAGAAAGCTAGGTTAGCATATTAGCTGGCAAGCTTACTGATTAGATAGATGGATTAGATAGATCCACACTCCTACCACAACTACTACTAAAGAATCTAAAACAACTAAGTTTCTCTAATATTTTGTGATTTGCATTTGATTTCGTCTAGCCAGATCAGGAAACTACTGGCGTATCTGGCGGACAACACACACACGGGATGACCCACTCTGATGGCTCGTCCTAAAAAGCCCCGGCAGCCGCTTACAAAGCTGCGATAGGCAAGATGCCGAAAACGCCTATAAGGGGAGGAATGGATGATATACCGTGTATATATGTATATTTACGCATGTTCATTTTGTACATTTCTAAAAATAAAGTTTGATGGAAATACTTAGTAGGCCTATCCTTTCTTTCCTGAATTATTTGCTCCTATAACATATCATTCATATATAGCAAACCATGATTTGATTTCTCATCAAACAGTAGTAGTTTATTACAGGTAAAAATAACTTACTCTTCTATAACAACAGTTGTAGGTACAGTTCGGTTAGTTAGCGTATAAAATATACGGCTGTACCAACGCCATTATAAGACTGTTGTTCCGCTGAGAGCGACCCGAAAAAAGCACTGTTAGACATGGGCGGAGCCTCTCTGGTGCTTGACTAATCAGAACAGAGTGGCCGAGCTGACCAATCGGAGCACACTAGGCTCACAGGGAGGGGGGGGGGGGGGGGGGCAAGAGATCCAACGAGCCGTTTAGTGGAGAGAGTGAATACTGCTGAATACACATGCTTGACAGAGATGCTGTATGCGAAACCAATGTGAGTTTGGAAAATTGCACAGTATAAATCTATTTTAGTATACCTCAACAATGGAATTATGATCAGTGGAAATGGCCATGACATGGGCCCTTTAAATCAATTCTTACAACTCATATTTATCTACTGGTATACCAACACATTTGTATTCTTTTTGTCATTGTGTGTCATTATGTTTTTAAAATGAAAACAAAAGATGGATCGTACTGACAAGAAACAACAATTCATCAGGTGAATTGTTTATTTGGCCACATCAACTGCATCACAGCACACGTAAAACAGCATAAATACTGTATCATTTACAATAAGTTAGTTAAATGTTTTCAAATATATCTTTGATATAAATAAACTGAAAATAATATAGCAGTTATGTCTGCTTAAAGGTGACTGGGATAAAGATAGTGGAGGGACTGAACAATTGGTCTTCTACAACGTCTGTGAAAACAAAACCTTTAGAATTAAATCAGAATTCTTATTCAGCTCACATCTGACTCTGGCATCGCTCACCATGTCAGACTCTCCAGAACCGGTACTAATAGTAAAAGTAAAGAACTTTAGCACTCTTTATTACGCAGAAGCATGTTCTGTTCTAAAATTCAGCAACGGTCTTTTTTTATACACTCAACAACTGAGACTACATAGTGAAACCTTTTAGATGAAATTCCAGTAAAACAAATGCAGTCAGTCCATGCACTGAGGTCAGATTAAACAATGAGTAAGGGCAACCACATGGCAACTTTTCTGAGAGCTAAGCCTTTTTTTGCAGCCGCTCCGAGCGCTTTGGGTTGGAAAATATTTGACTTCAGTAAAGAGCTGGTGAAATCCCTGCTGGAAATGGAGGAGAAGCTTGATTTTGTATTTCAGACAGTAACTGTCCTGACAAAGACCTAAGGTGAAGTGTTTTTCTTTAATATGTACAACATGTACGACTGTTGGACACTTATCTCCGTATGCTGGCTGCCGAAGCTCATTCAGACAGAGCATTCTGAGAGCAAAACCCTTCCGGATGATGTTCATGGTGCAAACACACATGTATAGAAGCACAAATCGATAGTTAAAAGCGAAGGGGCAGAGCTATTCTGTCACGTTGTCATAGAGATGTTAAATAAGAGCCCTGCCAGAGAAATGGGCTCTGTGGACACAGGGCCTGAAGTGCTTCCACCAGAAACATGTCATGTGACTGCCCTCTGCTTGATAGAAACAAAAGCACACAAAGCAAAATCAGGGAGGAAAATCGCAAAAGTGCAACGGTAAGAAAGAAATAAGATGGCTGCCTTCTGAAACAAAACATAAGGGGGGAGACCTGCCAAGTATCGCTTCTAGGTGCAATAAAGAACTTTGAACGTGAACAGAGTGACAGATGGCAGCCATCTTAGAGAGTCTTCAGTAATACAGTGGAGTTAAAGTCTCACAGCTCAGTGTCCCCAAGGCGGTCCATGTTCTGGACGTACAGCGGCAGCTTGTGGTGGACCGTCTCCTCGCCCTCCCTCTGCTCCCGGCATTCCGTCTGCAGAGCAAATAGCTGGAACACACACCACACACACAGTCAGCCTCAGGACAATCACACAACACCATCAGAGTTACAAAATAAGAACTCCCCAAATAGGCATTTTACTGTTATTATACTGAAACACACACACATGTTGTATGTGTGTTGCTTTAACATCATTATGAGCCTTGTAATGTAAACCTGATGGGGCCGCACTGTAGCAGGAAGTAACACGTCTGTGTGTTTGTGTGGACCAAAATAGCGTTGCAACTGTGAAAGATGGATGCATGTAACTTTTAGGTAGGAAGTTGAGATCAAAATAAAGGTCAAGTTTGAAGATAAACTGTAGGAGCCAATTAACACTGTGACTATAAAGGTAGGAACCTATGTTTGTGGTTAGAGGTTCCGCCGGAAGTCCATACCGTTTTTGACCACACATACACGATTACAAACATTTGCTAAAGGTATTGTGTGAACCGTTAATATCGTGTATGGTGAATGAGAAAACAAAGCAAGTTAAATGGAAACCAGTGAAAAGGAAATAAATGGACTGTATCGAACTGGAAACTTTGTTTCAGACTTTTATTCACTTAGCAAAATGTGTGTGCTTCAATTATGCCAACATAGCGGATCCTCAGAGGTTTAAAGCGTTGGCTTAGCCTCTACATAAACATTTTCAAAAGTAGTTTTTTTAAATCATGTATTCTCACCATCTGGCGGAGCTGTTCGTTCTCTTCAGTCAGACTCGTGGTCTTCTGGACTTCAGAGTCAAAGCTGAGGAGGACGGGCTGGGGTGAGAGCAGTTAAGAACCAGCAGTTCCAGTTTAAACAGACAGACAGACAGACAGACAGACAGACAGAGTTCAAAGAGAGACACCAGAATTCACTTTTCATCTAATGGAGCAACACACTGGACATTAAACTGCTCATGTGAAACATGGCAGCTTCGATTGAGCTAAAGGATATGCATACACTGGAAGAGGACAGACAGGAAGTTGTGCAGTGAAACCAGGAAGGTGTCAGCCCACTGGCGGGAGAAGTACGGAGAGAAGGCAGGGTTCTGCTCGGGGGTGCCAATAAACGGCAGGATGAACCAATCGCGCCACTCGGTCTGAGTCTGCAGCTCCAGCGCCTGCTTCTGGAAAAACTCCTGAGTCTTCTCCAGGTTTCCTTTCTGGTTGGAGGAAAGGACGGAGTCACGTTCTTTATCTTTATGCGTTAGAACAGAACTGTGTTCTGGGTCTCTATACAGGCTGTTACCTGGATGGTGTTAATGACGTAGAATCTGTACAGGCTGGTTCTCAGTTTGTTCACTGTGGATCTGTACACATCCTCCAGTCTGCAGAACAGACGTCTGTCCAGGTACTGCCAGTACTCCCTCAGACCACACAGGTCAAAGCTCTGCACAAACTGCTGCAGCTGCTCGATGATCTTATCCACCTGAAACAGAACATGTTTCATGAAGACAAACCTAGAAAATAACCCACTCACATTGAGAACAGTTGCACATTACTCAGTCAAACATAAATCCCTCCATATCTCCGTCAGTGGTACCCTGAAGCCTTTCTCCTTGTCGCTCTTCATCTCGGTGTCCATGTGTTTGAGGGTGCTGGTGAAGCCCCGGTAGATCAGATACTCCCGGACATGTTCGTCTGTCCTCTCCACTGCAGAGCCCATGCTGACCTCTGACCCTGCAGGACAACATGTAGTACAGCGAACAGTTCAGCTATTAGATGATCTTCCTGGTCAGTCAACAGCAGTAAGAATGGCTCGGTTGTGATCCCATACTTAAATGTCACCCTCTCAATATCTGTACAAATACAACAGTATTTGAATATCTTAATTTGTTTGTACATTTTCAAATGTCTGAGTTGTTTTGCGGGTGATAGAGGTGTGATATATGTGGTATGGAGTAATCAGGTGTTTTATTTTGCTTTGTAATAAGAAATATAGTACAAATATGAATGTATATTGACCTTTGGACGGTATAATAGACGTATGCAGCTGTTAGGCTGAAGGCAACATGATGTTTAGAAGAATAAGACTACCATGTCCAATCTGATCCAATGTTGGGATATTTGGAAGGGTTCTTTTATTTGATTATTAATCCCATTCAGATTTCTTCATTTAGAACATGTAGGCTGTTAGCACTTCGTTATCAGTGGATCAGTGACACTATGATGGTGGTTTCCACATGTTTTGGTCATTTGAAAGATTTAAATATTTTCTGAGAATATGTTTACATTAAGCTAAATGTTTTATTACTATCTGATAATAGAAAAGGAGTTGGATACTCCAGTTAAACTGCTACTGATTCAGATACAGCACCTCGAGTACACATCTGACAACAGGCTCTGTGTTCACTAGGGGTGTAACGGTATACGTATTCGTACCGAAAATATTCGGTATGGGCCCTTCGGGTCGGTACACGTGTGTACCGAAGTGTACCGAACGAATATAACGTTAAACGTAAAAAATGTAGAACGTGAAAAACTTTTTGGAAGTAATATCAGGTGCTGCGTCGCAGCGTTCAGTGTAATTTGCTCCCATTGGGTTCAACGCGTCATAGACCGATCAAGTCATTTCATTGGACGAGAGGCATACTATGAGAGCTGGTCACAGGGATGCGTTCAAATGTAGTCAGTAATTTGAGGAAATGGCGAACGCAGATACAGTTGAGCTTGAAAATCCTCCAGCATCATTCAAGTCTCCGGTTTGGGAACATTTTGGTTTCGCAGTTACGTACAAGGATGACGGACAAAGACAGGTGGACCGAACCAAAGCTGTATGTCGGCATTGTTCAACTAACATTGGTTACGCGGCTGGCAACACACATCAAACTTGCACACTCATTTCAAAAGGCATCACCCGAACGTGAATATCACCGGTAACAAAAGAAAAATGACTGAAGTGCAAACCCAACTCCCACTAGCATTTAAGCCTCCACCACTCAAAAGTTCAGTGCCATGTTAGCAGAGCGTTACCTGGCTGTATCATGGATGTATAATAAGAACTGTATCTGCTACCTCTGTCCCTAGCGAGAGGGTGTTCGCCACAGCAGGAGACATTGTTAGTGCCAGCAGATCTGCCCTTTCGGAAAGCAATGTGGACAAGTTAATTGTTCTTTAAAAAAACATGAAAATACAATGACAAGCAAGCAAGTCCTAGTGTCAAGCTGGCTGCTTAGGTGAGTACTAGTACAGTACAGTTCAAGTACAGATTATTTCAGTTCATCGAAATGCTGCACCTTAATGTTTATTTTATTACATTTTGTATTTATTTAAGTGAATATTCACAGTTTAATAATAATTAAAAACCCAAAACAAATATTTTATGTTTTGGGAGTACTAGTACAGTACAGTGCAAATACAGATTATTATTATTTCAGTTAAGGCGAGTACGGCAAATAAAAGTTGTAACAAGCAGTAGTGCTGAGCAAAGTGACTAGAACGCAACCACACACTTGTAAAAAAAAAACACGCTTTATAAAGTCAGGCAACACTAACCAGGCTTCGTGTGATTCTGTTTATTTGTACCTTACTTTGACCATCCGTTCGCTGTTATTGATCATTGTGGAGAGCAGGAAGACGTTTTGTTTGTTATTATAGCAGCTATCGGATGGAATCAATACATGGGCTGCACAGGTTGTCATGTCCGACTATCACAAGTAGAATCATAATGAAAAATACGCCGGTAAAATGTGCCTGTAGAAAACGGCTTATGCCACAATAGGATAGCAACAAGTAGTCAAGTTATAGTCAGTTTAACTTCGGTTGCTATGCTAACATCACCCATTTTATATCAGAGACACTTTCATAACAGCGTTGTGATGCCAAACAGCGTCAATTCAGACTCACACATATTCACTTATGGGGAATTGGGGATATGTATCAGCTGCTTGTGTGACAGTCAGACAGTGAATACTTTAGAGCCGTGTGAGCTAACCCGGAGCTAACGGGAGAATAAACTCCCGTGGAAGAGCAGCCAGCACTGCAGTGGTCGCTAAATGCCGCTGAAACACATTAATAAACAATGAACCACGGCACTCTGGAGAAAAGTATAAGGTTGGAGAAGTCGTTATTTAATTTAATCTGGCTTCGTATGATTAAAAGCAACACGATCATCGACCCGACGCAGTCCCCGGCCCGTTGCTGTTGTGAGCTCCGTTGGGGAGAAAATCAGCGACGTAAACTGTGACGTCATGAGTCATGACGCAGCAGCGGCAGCACCAGTCGGGCTCTGAGCGGTGTGAACAGAGCGGGAGCTGAACCGAAGAACCGGTTCTGAACCAGAAAAGCTCTAGCACGGAGCTAGAACGGGAAAAGCCTTGATGTGAAAGGGGTATAATACACTGATATATACGGAGCCCCTAAAGCAGGGGTGTCAAACTCAAGGCCCGGGGGCCAAATCCGGCCCTCGACTTCATTGTATGTCGCCCGCAAGAGCTTGCAAAGAATATAATATAATTATTATGAGGTTACATGCCGCTTTACAGAAGCACGTTGCCCATAAACTACATGTCCCACAATGCATCTCATGGTACCACTTTACAATAAGACTACCCTTATAAAAGGGTTTACGAATAGTTTGTAATTAATTAAGTTGTGAACATTTTATAAATCATTAATAAGCTTTTATAAGACATGAGATAAACAGGGCAATTGTGACCGGTTGCTTGCCAAATAGTGAGCCCACATTTATCTGTACTGCTAAGTCTTATATTGGCTACTAAGCTTACTTCGTCTTCTTCATCAGCCAGCATCCTTGGTATCTGTTGCTCACTGAGTTGATTCTTGCTAAGTAGCCAATATAAGGCTTAGTCATCTTGCCAAATAGAGAGCCTGTGTTGATGTATGAAAACTATGTTAGAACTGGTTTATAAATGGTTCTTAATGATTAATAAAGTGTTTACAACCTAATTCATAACCTAATTATAAACCCTTTATGAATCCTTTATAAAGGGTAGTCTTATTGTAAAGTGGTACCCATCTCATTTTGTGACATTCTTACTGAAGAGACTTGCAATTATTTGCCCTAGACTTCTGCTTTTCAGACGTAGTTAATTATGAAGTTATTACCCTATCCCATAATAATCCAATGCAGAGGCAATAATGTAATATAATTAGGGCTGTCAGTCGATTAAAATATTTAATCGCGATTAATCGCATGATTGTCCATAGTTAATCGCGATTAATCGCAAATTAATCGCACATTTTTTATCTGTTCTAAATGTACCTTAGAGGGATATTTTTCAAGTTTTTAATACTCTTATCAACATATGAGTGGACAAATATGCTTTATATGTTTGTTTATTATCATTTGAACAATGACAAATATTCTCATGAATATTAAACACAACAACCTCTGAACATTACAAATATTCGCCTCAATTCAACCTGGAACCTCTCTCATACAATAATACTGTGTGTGTGTGTGTGTGTGTGTGTGTGTGTGTGTGTGTGTGTGTGTGTGTGTGTGTGTGTGTGTGTGTGTGTGTGTGTGTGTGTGTGTGTGTGTGTGTGATGGATCGATCGTTGGAGCTATGTGCCGCTCAAGGCATATATGCTCGAACGTGTGCTACCTGGACGCTGCAATCATGTTGCGCGTACTATCCGTGCTGAGTGCGCTGACTGGCTACCTGCATAAAGTCAAGTGCTCGGCGCAGTTGTCGGCGAAATGTCATTGAAACAGCTCCAGATCCGTTAGCGCAGCTAGCTAGCACCAGATGCTAACAACAACAACACGTAAGGTGTGCCTCGCTCGCGCGAGTCGAGCCACACATACACACTCCCTCCCGGTCCTCCCGATGGCCAGTCCGGGCCTGCTGGTGAGCGTGGAAGTGTGGTCTGCCACAAGCGGGCGGCAGGAGCGGGGCTGTCAGCATCAGCTTGTAGATGGTATTTTAAACTCGATGCGCTCTGAAACTACGGGGCGGCCGAGGACAAAAAATACACATGCGTTAATCGCGTTAAAATAATTAGTGGCGTTAGCGCGTTATTAACGCGTTAACTTGACAGCCCTAAATATAATACATTATATTATATATATTAAATATTTATATATGTATTTATATATAGTCTTAATACTAGTTGAACATAACATATTGATAGTTGTATGTGTTTTTATATGTTTCTAGTTATTGTGCTTTTTATCTTGTTCTTAATTATTGTTTTATTATTTTACTCCTATTGTGTTATTTTATATTTGTTCCCTGTACAGCGCTTTGGTCACTGAGGTTGTTTTAAATGTGCAATATAAATAAATAAAGATTGAGATTGAAATGTACAACCGGCCCTTTGAGTGCAACCATAATGCTAACCCCTAGATTCCACCGGGTCCGTCTGCGTCGCGTTACGGCCGCGTTACGGCTGCGCCGCCAAGATCGCGGCCACTCAAGTCAATGGGTGCTATTCCACCAGACGTGCCGCATTACGGCTCAGAAGCGTCCCAGAAGCGTCTCGGCGCTGGGCTCGGCTCAAAATAGGATGCAAGTCTATTTTCGACGCGAGGCGTTGCAGAGGCGCCGGGCAGGAAGTGGACCCGTCAGAGAATCCAGTCAATCCCAAAAATAAACTAATTTTGCAGACCCTATCCCTCCGTAGTCTTTCAAGTAGGAGGAGAAATGCCAGCGTTCTCCTCCGGTTTACAGGCACTGTGTAAATTATATATATATATATATAGAATAATTATG